GTGCACCTTCAGATCAATGATTTTTGCAAATGACATTCAAGTACCATTCGAGTAGTGCATTTTTGCTGATAAAAGCAAATTAAATTAGCACAACTACAAGTGTGCTGATAAAAACTAAAACCGAACAGCAGCACCATTAGCTAACAAAGTAATATTTTCTCTTTACTGCTTTCTGCCATTTAGTTATTATCCTATTGGAAATCTAATTATAATCCTTTTACTCCCTAGTCAAACTTCACAGTTTTTGCAAGCTTAGCACTGACAAGTGATTTCATTACATTTGATTGCCCGCGCCCAGATTGACTTAACTTCACTCCGAGACCTAAAAGCCCTCTCAGTTTCTCAGATTCCCTGTTTGCACATTACAGCAACAGCTCCTTTAATTAATTAGCATGAACAGCAGTAACATGAACTGCTGAACAGAAAATAACATCATTTTATGATCGCAGGGAGACTTCTCCCTTTGCATGTTTATACCTTAGTTAACTTTTGTATTACGATATTTCATTGTTAGGGGATATTGGAACAATCAACAGAGCAATGTTAGCTTAAAATCTTAAAAATTAGATGTTACCGTAATACTTGATGATAACAATTTACAAAAAAATAAAATCCTCTGAATTTCAAGAAGGAGGCAGGAGCACAGGCAGACAAGTGAGGTGAAAACATGGTTCACTGTACCTGCAACAGGAGATGACCCAGGGCAGATGCTGCTGCTGCTTTTGTTTGTGAAATAATCTGGCAGAGATTTGGCAAAAGACCTCTAAAAAAAGGGAGTAACCTCACTAAAAAGTGAGTAACTTTTTATTTTTGGATGTTGGAAACTTATTTGGGGTTTTATAATGAAGAAAACTGTTGCCATAATTTTTTCAATATTCTGATCTAACCAGTCAGTTTCTAAACCCAACTTTTTTCGTTTGAGTCTTAGGTCTTTTCTTCTTCCTCCTGCCCAAGCTGGGCTCTGTCCCTAGTGCATGTCCTGCTCTGGATGCTCTGTATTATTAAACCCTTAATACTTACCTTGTGCAGCATTTCTAGAAAAACTCTTTTTCAAGTTCATATGCAGCTACCAGGCTGTGATACCCATGCACACGGCAGCCAGTGTGGCTGAGAGCTGCTCTTCTGCTCCCCAAAAACAGGGCCCTGTTCAGTGAGAAGCCATGAGGTGCCTGCCCTGGCTGAGTCATTTCAGTCTCAGTGCTATTTCTGCTTTTGGCACGCAGTGTTTTTCTGGGTGTCTCTCTCTCACATGAGGGAGGGTGTGAGATTTTGTGACTCATGCAAAACAGAAGGTGGGTAAAGGTTTCCCTAGGAGACCATTGAGCCTTAAGGTCTGGACCTGTCTGTCCTTTCAAAGGGCTGAAACATTTATTCAATAATTCAGTGTCTGCAGACTTGAATATTTCCTAAGTGGGAACCACTGTGCTACCTCCCTGTCTGCTCAGACTGACTGTGGCAATCCAGCATCTGCATGGTCTGTGCTCAGTGGCTGCTGTTACTTACTGGAAATCCTGTTTTCAGTACAAGTGTTTTTAACTCTATTAACATTTATGTGGAAATATTTGGCAGGGTAGTCCTAAGCACAAAATAAGTCAGGAATAAAGCCTAAACCAGCAGGTCTGTGAGTGAACTGCACTGCAGGGTCAGGCAAGCGTGGTCCTGCCTGTAGCGAGGAGATGTCCAGGCAGCACTGGACATCAGAGAGTGCGCATCTGCAGGGGTGGCAAAAGGCCATAGGAAAAACCTTGGTTAGTAGTGCTGCAGAAGCACCATTTATCATCCGGGTTCTTCCATGGGTCTGGAGAAAGCTGTGCCCTGCTCAAGGTGTTACACTTTTTGATGCTCAGTTTGGACAATACTTGCAGATAAAAGGAAGGGAGAAGTTCTACTGGACAACTAATAAGCAGGCAAAGAAGTCAGTTTTCCTGTCATCATTCAGCTCAGTGACCAGCTCGAATCCATGAGAGCTGGCTGTAAACCAGGTCTTCTTTTTTATCATGGTAGTCATAGGGATCCTCTGCTGTGTTCTGTAATTGCTGTGATCCTTACCCACTAGCAGAGGCCTGGATGCAGCCTCCTTCCAGGCAGGCAGCACTCCTGTCTGCTAAGAGGGTTTTCTGAGGGCTGTCATCCACAGTAGAACCAAACTGTTCTCTGATTTTTCTTTTTCTTTCTGCAAAATGAGAGACTGGTTCAAACTAATTAGCCCCAGCTTTGCAAGTTAATTTATTGTTATTTCTCATGTGTTGCTGCATCCAGGGCTGGGCTTGGCTCTGATCTAACTGAGGTGCTATTTACACAGCCTGGGAAGGGTGAAGAGCTCAACTACTGTCCTGTAGGATACTTGTGGTGTCCTGTAAGGCTTTTGGATCCAGCCCCTTCAGCAGGAGTTGTGCAAGGGCTCTGAAGTGCAGAGTCTGGTACAGGGCTGCCTTCTCCTCTCCTCTGGCTACACAAAGAAGCAGGTCCCAGCTCCACCTGTCCTGGTTTCCAGCTGCTCTCCCAGCTCCTCCTCCAGCTGAGTTGGCAAAGTGGCATTTCCAGTTTATTATTTCATCTCTACAACCTGTAGTGCTGGGCTGGATTTTATAAACTGCATATGTAATTTACAGTTACTGATACAACAAATTTATCCTGGTTTTCTCATTACAAGGCAGATCCCAAATTTCCTCCCTCCACCAGTTTACAGTGTGCCACAGTTACCTGGCAGTCCCAAGGTGTAGCTTCCCTCCCTGGACTGGCTTTGCACACCAGCATTGCCAGGGCACACTGGGAGGGTGCACAATTTTGGGTTTAAAGTAGTTTTATGGAAATACAGATGAATTCTCAACTTAAAACAGAGATCTTACAACCCGAGCCTCACAAAGGATTTAGAAAATTAGGAGATGTTGAATAGGCTGAAAAAAGAAAACAAAATAAATGTGAATAACTATGCAGATGATGATTATTGCTTTTGGATTTGTTCATTATACACACATTAAAGCCTTGAACGATGGTATTGTGGCTAAAAAGAGTGCAAGAGCTGAATATACCCCGGGCTAGCAACTCAGGGAAGAGTACGCCATCCTGAGGGAAAATTCCAGTTATTAACAACACAGTCTCTGGCTCACCAAGGAACTCTGAGATCTTTACTTGTCTTGCACATTGTGAAGGGGAAAAAAATCCCTTCTAAATGTCTTGCTTATTAAGCCAGTCATGCATTGCTCTGTAGGCTGTAAAGCAGTGTAACATGCACAGGGGGCTCATAAGCATATTTAGTGTTAGGGAATATCATTTATACAGTTTTTATATTGTCAGTATTACCCCTAGAGAATGAGATTAGGCTTTAAACTACTGTAAATCTACGCTTTTGCTCACCTTTGTATAATTTCGGTTTTTAATAGAATGAAGCCCACATAAATGAATATTTGATTAAGGGATAAACCTTATAAAAGAATACATTGATTGCACACAAATTTATTCAAATCTTTGCTGTATAATACAGTAAAATGCTATAAAATGGTCTGTAGCTTGCAGTCAGCTGCACTGAGGAGATGGTGAATATTCTCCAGAAAAGATTAATTTGACAACATCACATTGTCTTTCCTGTGTAAGTGGGGGCACAGCTGCTCCCAACACGTTAATTCCTCAGAGGTGGTTGCTGTGTGACGTGGTTAATGCCATGGAGTTCAGTTTATTGCACAGCAACAAAAAAGTGTTTTAATTTCTGGAGAATAATTGAGAGCGTTGTAAAAAAGGAAATATTTAACTGTGCACTTTCTGTTCACTGATCAATGACATCCCCTGGGTGGCTGCACTGGGCTTGAGCTCTGGCATTTACTTTCTGTCTTACAGGTATTCCAGATACCTGCATTGAACTTTCCTAGAGAAATAAAGGGAACTGGAAGGAAATATGGAAACCTGCTCTGAAGTTTAGTCAGTCCTTCAGCACTCAGTACCCTCAGTGTCCACCTCTTACCTTAGCTAGAAAAATATTTTTAAAAATGTAATAGAAACATCAAGAACAGCCTGCACTGGGAAGGTGCCAAGTGCAGCTTCTTAATGATCACAAGGGGAAAAATTAAAAACAAACCCCACAGTATTCAGTACTTGCATTTCTGCTCACCCCCTCCCTAGGCTTCCATATTTCCCCCACTAAGTTTAAGACAATAATTTTCATCAGCCAAAGGCTTGAAACTAATTGGAGTCACTTCTTTGGAGGTTCCCATGCTCCCAGATGTTCCTCTGGAGCTGTTATGTCCCTGGCTCTTCCGATCTTTATTTGTGCTTACATCCAAAATACATATTAAATCATCTTGGTTTGGAGAGTCTGAGCCTCCTTAAAACCATGAAACATCCAATTACTAATTAGCCGTTTCCTGTTCCTAATGAAGTGAACATGTCGGATTTGGATTAAAATTCAGCTACTGTTCTCCTCTGTTTATGGTTCCAGATGTTTTTGTTTTATCTAGGAGGTTACTTTGACAGCTACTGCTAAATGATAAATCACTCATATTATAGCTGAAATGCATTTTGAAATTGAAATGTGGCAAACTTGGAGATTGCTCCAAGGATCAGTGTCAGTTAGCAGGTCAATACTTCCTCGATCCTTAGGAGTGTTCAGTATTGGCATATGTAAAACAGTAATGGGAGAGATGTCAACATTATACAAAATGCTTCTCCATATTATCATTTTGCTATCATCTTCCAGATCAGTACTTGCAGATTTAGCTGGGTGGATTCATGATTCATTGTATAATGAACAGGAATATGGATTCTTGTTAGCTTCACTTTCTGTGGGCATTTCAATATTTATTTTTTTCTCTGAGCTTAAAGTTGCTTAATGTGAAAAATCACAGTTGATAGGTAGTATAACTAGGAATATATTTATGAAGGAAACAAGTGGTTTTCTACTTCATTCTCTAAATAAAGAAATAGAATTTTAAACGAAAGGTGGTGGTTTGTGAATGAAAGAACAGTTTTCTAAGAACAGATCTTGATTTACATTTTCTTAGAGCAGAGCAGTTTTGGTTTAACACCCTGTTCCCTGGCAGGTTCTGTGCATGTGATAAGGGTCTGTTGTGAAGCTGGTGCCACGTTACTCGGTCTGTCCTAGGGAGTGGAGGCAATCCAACATGGGCTGCCTTCTGGAAAAAAAAAAAAAAGGAGGAAAATGAGTGTTCAGTTAAAAGCAAAAGCCATAAAGGAAGAAAATTCAAATCAAGGTATTTAGAGCCTGCACTCAGCAGCTGCTGACTGGAATATACCGTGAAAAACAGGGCTAGTGGGTCCTGGGCCCAGCTCAGTGCCCACACCTGCACCTGGGTTGGGAGGTGACCAGTGCCCTGAGACAGCTCATTTCTCTGCCAAACATTCATTTCTTGAGGGCTTGGCTGGGTTTTGTCACCCAGAGCCTGCTTTTCCTGTATAAAACATGCTCACATGATGGAGAGTTTAGTTTCTGTCATTTACAGATCTGATCATCTGGCTTGAGCTAAAAAGAGGTCCACAAAAAAGTGAGGAAAAGACAACCCAAAGTGTCAGTTAATTATAAAATGTTTTAACTGTGTCATTTTTTTTTTTCCCCTCCAGAAAACAGAACATACATCAAACCAACCATCATGTACTGAAGGAACCACCTATTGTTGAAAAATGTATAATGACCACTATCTGAAGACTATATAGTTCCTGAGAAACGTCCCTTCCAACCTTTGATGCCTTCAGTACTGTGTGAGGAACAGGATTTGTAGCATGAAACTTGAAGGACAATTCCAAGCAATTTACTGTTGCTGCATTGAAAAACTGCCGTATTAAGACATACTGAGACTTTTTACAAGCTTACCATACCAAACCAAGCCTGTTACAACAGATCGTTTTTAGGTCCCCGGAGATAGAAAGGAGTTTTAGTATTTTTAAGCACATACAGGAATTATTTCCCCCTCCCAGCCCATCCCAAAAAGAACTTTTTTTTTTTTTCCTTAGGAGGTGGCTATTACTGGATAGCAAAGGCACAATGATTTTAAGCCACACCAGTCCTGCACTGGCTGTACATCAAACAAGTCCAGTTTATCACTGAAACTGTTCAACATGGAGCTGTTTCGATTGTGTTTATAAATTAAGCTTTGTTTACTGAAGCAGATACTCAATATATATTACGTTTTAAAAAGAAATGTGTGTACATTTTTTAAAAGAACGATGTAAAAATTGTCCTTTCATTAGATGACCAACTCAAAAGTGTGAGCTAAACCCTAATAGCTGACGTAATATGAGGATTATAATTGATGCTTTTTTTTTTAATGCTCAGTTCAGCTTGGCTTTTGGTCTTTTAAGATGGAAAAATGAATATGCAGTAGAGTGTTAGATAATGGAAACTTTTAAGTATGGTTTCTCTGTTGTACCATATTAAGTTAAAGTACACATTCTTTGTTAAAAATGTTCTTGCTAAAAATACAGTATTAAAAAGTTTTTTGTTTGACTTTGGAAATCTTTTAAGATTTTTTTTTTTTTGGACTGTGAATTCCCATAGTAACTGTACTAATGCAAACCAGTATTTTGCACTATTAAAAATACTTGAAGAAATTACTTAATAAAGAGGGTGGGTTGGTATTAAACATTTTCCTAATTATTGTATGTTCCAAATTCTGAACTTTGCAACTGAAACATTCCCTTCTCAAAACATGTGACTGAAAGGTGGTTTGAGTCAGGTGGAATTAAGTGATCACCTGTTCTCTCTTTACTTTCATTCCTGGGTCAAAGGCACAGTGCTTATTTACTTACAAACTCCATGTTTACACACACATGCCCTGAATTAAATCACTGCCACTTAAAAACGAAAAAGACCTTTAAATAGAGTCATGGGGAATCTATTTCCTGTGATTATGTTTATTCCTGTCTACATCTGTATGTATAATGTTCAAAATTTCTTTTCTTTTTGGTACTACATTTTTTTCCTCATTAGCAGATTTTCCTCCTTCTGCAATCAGACTGTGCTCTGTGACACAGCAGAATAGAATCACCTGATTATTTTTTTTTGTTCCTAAAAGAAATCTCTTAGCTTAACCAGTGTCAGTTCAGAAAAATGTTAGCCTCTGTTTCACTGGTGATAAAAGGACTTTTCAGAATATTCTTTCAGTCTACAGAATTGGTTTGTTCCATAGTAATTTTATAGCAGGTGTTCTAATAACTCCATTAATCACGCTGCCATTGATCTAACAATCAGAACTTGAATAATGCAAAGAAACAGGAGGATTAGGAGCTGTGAGTCCTCCTGACTCTTATTAAGAGCTCATGTGTGACTAAAACACTGCACCACCCCATCTTGAACTCCACCTTTGAATATATGTTAATTTTAGTTTCAATTCCATTGTGATTCTCTGAAATGAGGGTTGGACCTTCCTTATGTCTAAATCTTATTTTTTAAAAAGGAGCCGAAACAGTGTTTGGGATGCTGCAGCGTTTCTGACTGATACTGCTGATAGTGCTCCTGAAAGGGAGGTCTTGGCTGAGTTATCCAGTATCGTGAGTTTAGAAAGACTTAAAGTAACTGAACAGTTCATTCTTTAAAATACCAACATTTCTGCACTTTTCCTGAATCTCCACAAAGGCTGTTTGAGCACTTTTTTCCTCAGTGGCTGATGTACATGTTACACAAGGCAGCATTGAGCCTATGATGATTTCTGGTTTGCCCATCACAGGCTACTTTTAAACATCAGAGTACTGACAGATGAGGTTTAGGAGACTCATAAACTTGAAAGACTGAATGTGTTCAGTCCTTACTAGGGGGCTCCTGATGAAAGTATTGACAGACCAGGGCACTGAGGGTTTTGGTGTCAGCTCAGCCTAAAGAGCAGAGTCTGACAAGCACTTTCTGTGGGGTAAACACATTAAAGCCATCCCGGGGTGGAGCAGGGCAGGAGGCACTTCAGCCTACACCATCACACTCCTCCTCACCTGAGGCCATGAGCTGAACAGCCCCAGCTGCTGCAGTGCTGGTACCAGGGAGGGACAGCACCTCTGGGAGGGTTTGGCTTTTGGATGTGGAGCAGAGGACAGTGACAGCCCATCCTCTGCAGGGTGTAGGCTGCTGGCAGCTGAGCTGGGGAGTGTTTTCAGCCTGGGGGGGCACTGCCAAGGTCGGGGTGCAGCACCCACAGCCCCTCTGCATCTGCCTCTGATAGCTCTGGGTCCCTACAAAGCATCTCCTTGTGTGGGAATGGCCTTTGGAATGGCTCGGTGCCAGCAGAGCTGCTGGTGGCCAGACACAAGGTGATCTTGGCTAAACACAGGCAGGTTAATGGACACTATTGCAGCCCTGTTGTGAATCCTGTGTAATGCAAACTGCTGCCACAATAAACCCCAGCAGGATCAATAGTGACCAATCTCCATGGGAGGCGTGGATCTATAGCAATGCCCAGCGAGAACACTCTGCTTTGGAAATGCACGGCTGTGCATTAAAACCTGAGCGCTGCTGTAAGTAATTGCTACCTACAAGTAAGTGGCCCATTAATAAATGTATTTACAGACAATTTTTGGTACCGTGACAAAATGTGGGCTAACCTGAATTGTTGCAGATTTCCCTCACGGCCTCAGCTGATCTCCACAACCACTCCTGTGCCTGTGTGCAGACTGAGCCCTAAATACACACAGGACCATTCCCAGCCTGGTCTTGGATCTGTTACCTTTGGCAACAATGCTGATGGAGGCACTTCCCACTTTCCTACTGCTGCTTCCAGCTGTGATCCCACAGCCTCCACCTGCACTGCTGTCCTTGCTGGGTTGGGGTGACGGAGGGACAGAGAGGGTTTTTTTTAAGCCAGGTCATGTGCTCTCATAGTTTTTAACACATACTACAAATGTTTAGGCACTTGTAAAATCACTGTTAATAAACAGTTTGACTTTATTTCTGTCTGCAAATAAGGACGTCTTTGATGATTTGAAGATGGGATGGAAGGGGGGGGGAGTATTTTTATAATGATGTATTTATAGATGAGTAGTGATTTGCTACTGCTTTATATTTGTACATCAAAGAAATCAATTGAGCCAATTCAGTGCCAGCACAGCACAAATGCTGCAGCTTGCACCTACCTTTGCCGTTAGACCTGAACCTGTTCAAATCTTCTGTTGGAACAGAGTGTCCTTTGCATGAATGTTTGGGTGTGGGAATCTAAGGCAGGGAAAAAAAATGCTTTTTTTAAAAGACACTCTCATTATTCTGAGTTCCATCAAAAGTACAGTAAGGTTGTACTGTATCTTCATTTTATGATTCTGTTGACATAAAGGAAATGCACCACCATATATTAAGATGTTCTTATGATAACTGATACTTTAAAGATTAGATGCTTTATAATAGTTACACTCTTTTAAAGTGCATTTGGCCTTGCATGTTTGAAAATGCATGCACAGCTTTTTCGAAAACTACACTGAAATGTGTATTCACTGGGCAGTAGATCCCTTTCACCATCTACCAGTTCTTTGGCTGTCTCCAAGAGGGTTTAGCTGTGGGAGACAAGAGTTTTGCAGTCTGAGATGTAATTTCTGACTTTTCAGAGCTCAAAGCTCCCCACAGGAATTCCGTGGCTGGTGTTTCTGCCCCACGAGCTGCAAGAGCAGCCCAGCTTTGTCAACTCAGCTGGGACAGCACCTTGGTTTGGTTAAGGTCATTATGTTTAAAACAACAGTCTTAAATGGGTTAGAATAGATAGATAGATAGATAGATAGACAGATAGACAGACACATATATGTACCTGCTTCTCCTGGTAACAGAGCAAGTGCCCACTGTTCTGGAATAAATTTTGGCTGGTCAGAGGGAAGATGGAGATGAACCAGCCAGAGAAGTGACACATTCATATTGAACTATACAAAATCAGTCCAGCTCTTATTAATCATTGTGTGCTTCAGTCAGCCCATAGTGAGCCAGACATACTTATTTTTCACCAAAAAAAGTCTAAAATAAGGTAGTGGCGAGAAACTCCGTAATTTTGAATGGTGAAGACATGGTTTCATTACTACAAGGTTTGCCACACAACTCCCTCATAATGAACATTGCAGTGCAATGGTGCAATACACCTTATATTGAGGTTATTAAGAGTGTTTCTGCTGTAAAACAGGCTGATTTAAACACTGCATTAGCAGCTGAGTGTCACAGCATGTGGATGTACCACAGCACCACGGCACAGACGCCTTTGGGACTGTGCCAGAACTGTGCTAAAGAAGTGTTTGGGGTCACAGTGCATTGCCCCCTGCCTTTGGAGGGCTGAATACAGCATGGAGTGCTCATTTTAGGATCTGGGCTTTGCCTGAAGCTTTAATCTTATTACCCAAAGCCACATGCCCAAAATGAATTGCCCCCGCCTCCCACCAAAGCGTCCAAATAGAAAGGAAAAACCATTGGCATTAAATGAAACAAGATGAATTGGCTAAAAAGAGAGCAAAGAATAAACAGGAATGAAAAATAAGCCTTAATTCACTCCAGTGCCAGTAGGATTTGGCATTTAACTTTAATCATATGTTTCATTCTATATCAGGAAGAAATACCTGTTTGCTGTTTCCCCTGACGATTCCTGCCATTAGCTGAAAGTCTGTTTATTCCCAGAGCTGTGCTGCCATCAGTTGATGATGCTGGGGCACATACAGAGAGGTTTTGGCAGGAAAAATCCTTTATCATTTGGAACATAATTATGAAACATAATATTATTCTTTGTACATCAGTCTGAAGCAATTCCATACAAATTGTTACATTCTCTTCCTTGGTGTCAGCTGGGGCAGGGAGGGGAAACCACGTTCCTCAAAGTAAGAAAGTAGACCAAAAAAAGGTGGTAACTTAAATAACAAGGAATAAACTCCCTATTGGACATTTTCTTAATAGTTCTGTAAAGCTGCTGAAGGCAGAAATGGTACATAGAGATTTTTGGTGTCAGATCAGTGCTTTGCATTTTATGTGATCATTTACACCTGTGCAAAGTAAGTGTTTGATGGCATTTGACAGCTGATTTATTAACGTTTGACACCTGTGTTACAATGTTGAAATGACTCTACAATGTGCAGAGCAGTGGAAAAACCACTGATTCCTCTCATGGCTTTTCCCTGGTAGTTTAATGCCGAGATTCCATTCCAAAGGAAAAAATTAATCTCTTGCACCCCGACCGTAATTCTTTATTTCTTCTAGTATGTTATGGTCAGCTCACACTAACTTGGTGCAGGGGGAGGGTTGGAAGAATAAAGGAAAAAAGAGAAAAGCAACTGTGTTTAATTCACAGCCCAGATTCAGAGGTGCTGGCTCTGACACCAAACCAAACCCAGTGCCTCGAGGAGCCACGGCAAAGTGAGAACTCTGGTGAGAAACCCCACAGGACTGAGGTTCCTGACTTAAAACAGAGCTGGTAAGTAAATTGCATTTTTTTGTAGTTATTAGTTTTTCAAATAAGCAGAATTTTTCACTAAATGAAAGTTCTGTTTTTGCTGAAATTGGTGTTGGCTTCTTCAAACTCTCAAGAAACTCCCAAGGCAGGGTATTTCTTTTGCACTGTTTAAAGGCAGACAGTGACAGACTCCAGTCAGAATTGGTGTAAGAAGTGGTTGATCAGTTTAATACTTCCTGAAATGTGGTGGACTTCTCAGTTTTAGAATTATTAAAATAGCTGCACCCATTGAAAAAAAAAAGTCAGCAATATCATCTCCGTGCATAAAAGTCATTGGAGCTTTGAATTTACAAAAAGAGCCCTTCCCACCCCAGGAAATCATGCCCAGGAAGAAGGATCATGGACACAGCAAAAGCACAGGCTTAATTAATACTATACAATTTGTCAAGCACACAATTATTTGAAATGCAATTGCCAGTGTTATGTGTTGACATAATGAAAATAATAAAAATAATAATATTGTTTGTTCATCTGGTACCAGCCCAATTTCCAAAGGAAAAGCCTCTCCGATTTCACACATGGAAGTAGCTTTTCCAGCTAAAATAATGCAGCAGCCAGTGTAGCATGAATAAGTTAAGTATCTGTGAAGTTCATGGACTGGTGAAGAGGGAGGACCCATTTGCCAAGCTGGGAATTACTGACAGACTGAATGACCCATGTCTAGTCCTGTCACGTTACTTTACACATTGTAACACAGCCCAGTGGAACAGAACCTGGGAGAAATGACTTCAGCACGAGACTGCAAGATTTTCAAGGTTACCAGTGTTGGATTGTCACAGGGGCCACATTTCCTAGATCAATTGGAGTGGCCTTTTTTTGGCACCCATTGATAAGGCAGAGAGCTTTGCCATCACTCAGAATTCAGCTCTCCCATATTTACCAGTGTCTGTCTCTTGGTCTACATCACGTACACAGAAATCCAAGCTCCTGATGCTCATGGACACTGCCCTCCCTGTGTTTCACCTGCAGGTCCTGGCTTGGAGCAGCCAAATTTCATGAGGGGAGGGAGACAGTGTTAAATGTAACTCAAAGGACAACAAAATTAGTTATTTTAAACAGGAAAATAAAGCGGGTCGTTTTGCTTCCTCAGCATCACGGCTATATCTGAGGGGGAGACCAGAAACCAACCCAAATGTTGATTGTATTTAGGGGTAGAAAGGGGGAATAATTGGCTCAATCTCAGGGAAGGATTGATTTCCAAGGATAGCAGTTCCAATATAGTGCATCACAATACACAGGATTTTACTTATTTTGTTGCTGTGGTTTAGAACCAGAGAACAACCAGGAATTTCCACTGAAGGGCCCTATGTGCTCAGGCATTTTGGAAATGCAGGACTGCAGGGTGATGAAGATAACATCAGCTGCTCCAAATGGGCCCGGGGTGATTTTTGACTGAAGTTTTATTAGGAATTTGAACGTGACATCCCTTCCTGATGAGCACATCCCCAGCCCATTAATGTCAATGAGAGTTATGCTTACATGGCACAGAGAGCAGATCTTTTCCTTGTGCTTGTCCAGGGTTCTGACACACAGCCCCGATCCTGGGCCTTACTCAAACAATGACAACTTAATGAGGGTTTACTTTGGGCTCTAGATCTCTATAAAAGTAATTTTTAAATAGCATAATGGAATAATATTTACTCAACAGCCTTTGCATTGTTTATTCCCCCGTGTCTGTCTTACGGTCTTGTAAGATAGAAATAAATATTTACTCACTCTTCATTCATGCAGTTTATTCTATGTAGAACTGTAGCCAGCTCTGTGCATCATGTTGCCTTATAGCTGGATGCTATAAAGAAAGGAAATTAATTGTTGTTAAACTTAGGTATGTGATAAAAAAGGAAAAAAAAAGTTTGTACTGGCTCCTGTCTGCATTTTACTGCATTTTACAGCTTGTGCCCCCTCCCACCCCGTCTCCTCTGCCAGTGTGGGGGTGTGGATGTGTGTGTAAAAATCAGATTACCTCCAGCTCATTACTGTCCACTGACAGGGTCCCTCTGTAAAAACTTTTGATGAATAGTCAGCATCTCATTCTTCAGTCGTAAAAAAACCCTAAGTTGCTTGCAATCATTATTCCAAATGGAAAAATTAATTGTAAATAACTGGAAGTCAATTAAGGCTGGGTTCTGCCGGGTAATGCAAATCTTTTATAGTTTTGTTTCAGTTAACTGCCTCATTAATGATTTATAGATGTGTATACAGCTGTGGGAACCATAGCATTATCTAATGCACTCAGAGAATAATTACATATGAAAAGAACTACGCAGCTCAAGGGAAAAACTCAGAAATTACTTACTGCCTTAACTTCAACCATATTAAGATGCAAAGCATTTAGAAGCCAACTGTGATGTTTTATCATATTCTTGAGGTTTTATACTCTTTTTAAAAAGGGAAAAATAATTCTCTCTAAAGAAATATTTGTATACTTCAGTATTACACAGTACGCAAAAATCAAGATGTCTCAACTGAGAATGTCAGCATTTATTTATTATTTAAAAGCCTGAGTTATAAAACATTCCCATTCCCTTTGTGCATCTGCTATAAAGGAATAAAAGACATTTCTACAGTTAAACAATTCATGGGCATATGCATATATCTCCCTGAATTACACAGAGCTAGGAGTAATTTTGGAAAGTCTTCCTTCTGGAGTCGTTTTCCTGGATATACAAATCCACTGGTACTTGTTCTTTGGTGATGCCGTTGTTTGAAGTTTGAGGGGGTTTTTGGAAAACATTCTTTTCTCTCCTGAAACTTGTTTCACGTCTAGGAGGGCACTAAACCCAAATTCTGCACGTTTTGCTACTTATTTCTTAGAAATTCGAATCCAGTGATAAAACTGCTGTTGGACATTTGGAAGCACCACAGGGGATCCTTTGCTTTCAAGCCTGCCTTTCTTCGTTCTTAGAGCTGAGGGGGGTCAGGGTCTTTCTCACGAAAACCTGCCCTGAAATTCCTATTACATTTGGCTCTGTAACACTGCAGATCCTCAGCCCAAACCTTTGGCATTGCTGTGAGGGAATTCTCTGGGTCGTGGCTGTGGGAATGGGGCAGAAAAGCCGGGCGATCTCCCCCTTCGTGCTCTGCCCCCCAAAATCATCTTCCTCCTTCAGGCTGAGCAAAATCACTATCCCATGCTTTTGTCCACAGAGTGACTCCAGGAAAATTGGGGTGTTTGTGGCCAGCAGTTTGAGCTGTTCCAGCCTGGCCAAAGACCAGTCAGTGCATTGGGGGGTCCTCCCAGCCACATCTTCCCCCAGCACTTACAAAACTCCTGGAACTTTCTTCCTCTTGCTCCTCCTCCACCACGTTCTTCAGGCCTCTGCTCCCAGCTCTCTTCTCCAGCCCAATGCTCTTGATTTGTTTGCTCAGTCAGGTGTGAGTTGATCTGTCTGTGCTCCTGCTCACACGTTGTGTGATTTAGAATAAGTGCCTTTTTTGCCATATATTTGGAAATATTAAAATCCTGGCCCAGTTGTCTGTTTGAGCTATACAAGGCCAGAGGGAGACAAATAAAAATTTTTTATTTTGTCTGCAGATGTTCAGCCTCTTACATAAAACCTACAGCTATCCTGTATCACTTATTCATTTCACAAATAATGCCAGCACGTTTCACCAGGTAGGCAAAAAGGAAAAAAAACAGCCCAGTGTCCTTTTGGTGGGAGGTGGAGTGGGGAAAGGACACCACAAACTCATTCCAGGTTTTCCCAGCGGCACTGAACCACAAACACTGCTTGGCCACCAGCCTGGTGCTGCTGGCCAACTGGCTGTGGGATTAAATGGAGCACAGAAATGCTCAGTGTCCTGCTTGCTGTGCTGGAGAGCTGGTTCCGTAGAGGGGGAGGCTCAGATGAAAACTCTCAAGTTGTGTCTTTGCAGAAAATCCGTGGTGGCATTTGCTTGCCTGTTAAAGAGCAGGTTTAAACAGGTTTGTAATTTTGCATATATGTTTTTGCTATCACCGAAGGAAATTACCTACTCTAGATTTCACCCACTGACAGAATGATTCACATTGACAAGGTCTCAGGAGGTCACCTGTTCCCACCTCCTGCTCAAAGACTTCTGCACCTACATCAGTGGCCGTGTGTGAAATGGAAGTGAAGTCAAAACCATGGGAATAATGTATTTGGTGAGTTTATAGCCAGAGAATAAAATAGAAATAGACAATGGAAATAGTCATAATTTTTTTCAACTCTGCAGTGATGTCTTTCTTGATAATGAAACATTATATTAATCTACAAGGACAAATTAAGGGCTGAAAATCAAGTGTCATTTAACATTAGAAAAATGTACTTTTAATTCTAAGCTTTTGAGGTTGTACTGAATAATCTGCATAAGGAACAGCTAAATAAATCAAGATTAGGCTGTCTAGGGTGATTAAACACACAGATACAGCCTTTGGCTTATGACATCCTCATAGACATCCTTATGGAATTCTAGGCACAGAAGAGATGACAAACCTGCATTAGCCAGGAAAATAATCTAAGTAGTTTAAATTCAAGAAGTTGGGCCCTTAGGCCCTTGTGCCTTCATGTTGTGCAGTGCCCAGAAGTGAGAGGCTCTGTCAGGGTCCCCGTGCCCCAAAACCCCTCAGCAGTTGCAACGAGAGACTGGCAACAGTCAGCTGGAAGTGCAGATCTGTGGTTATTTTAGTGCTGCATTGGTGATACTTCACTGAGCTGAGGTGCCTTTTGGTGTCCTACAGGCTCCAGGCAGAGCACACACACATCTACTTATGGAATGGGGAAGGTGGGATCTGCTGGGGTCTGCTGAGGCAAAACATCACAGATGCTCAATGCTAAAGCATGCCTGTATCTACAGCCAAGCATTCCAAAGCCATTCCGAAGGGAATTGCTTACCCCACTGTATCTGTCAGCCTTCCAGGGCCCAGAGAGTAGCTGAAAAAAAAAAATGGATAAAGATATTCTAAAAAAATCCCCTGGGACCATCTCCCGTATTTAATAAGGAAAAGCACCTTCTGTGCAGCCAATAAAAGTTGAATCTCTCATGAAGATTTATACCATATTACACACTGAAATTCAATGTACAACGATACCCTTGTGTATACAGTTGTCAGAATAATAATCTTTGTCTGTCTGATCAACTTATATTTTATGCCAACAACACAGCATTTAATATTATACAGTTTCAGAGGAAGAAAATAAATTTATTCATGCAACAACTTGCCCAGTAGCTTAAACAGACAAAGTGAAAAAAAAATAGCTTGGAGTTTTTACGTTAACTTATGATCCACAATACAGATTTCTATGTGATTTTAGCAATTTCATGCAGCAATATAAACTATGATTCTTAATCTAGTTTGTGAAACTGTCTCACTATTTTATACTGTCATGAGGAATAATACAGTTGGATCTGACTGCTGAAGTTTTGCTTTTGGCATTCTCCTCAGATGAGGAGTCTAAAAATACAAATGGTAACCAACAGCTTCTTTCTATATTCTGCATTGTCACATTCTGTGCTGTATTCTTAGGCTTTGTGTCCCAAAATATATATCAAGAAACACTTATAGAGAAGATATACATGGACTCCCCCACAACCAAAGTACTCCTTGACAGAAATCAGCAGAGTCTACCCACGATATAGAGCTGGTTCCAAATGATGCAAAGCTCTGCCAGATAAGAAAACTTCAGCAATATAGAAAATCTCTGTTGTATGTAGATCCATTAAATCTATTCTTCAGGCAGCCTGTGCAGCAAACTGACAGACTTTGAATGATTTATTGTTACCTTTTTAAAGGCATCTACTTTTTACCTTACATTAATTTTTCTTTATATAAGAATACCTGACAAAAATGGAACCTGGCAACACACCAACCTCCAAACAAGCTAATGAAAAGAATGGAGGTAGGATTGGGAACAGAAATAAAAGAGGATGGTTAGAAATGTATCTGTACCCCAAGATGTAGCCCTAAAGCAAAGCTGAACACTCATAAAAGGAAGGTGTACTCTAGCCTTTAGGCAAGAGTACTTAAACCTCACTTAAAGTTAAGCTTACTGTTGGTGAGGCCCTGGCACAGGTTGCCCAGAGAAGCTGTGGCTGCCCCATCCCTGGAACTGTGCAAGGCCAGGTTGGACGGGGCTTGGAGCAACCTGGGCTAGTGGAAGGTGTCCCTGCCCATGGCAGGGGGTGGGACTGGATGAGCTTTAACGTTTCTTCCAACCCAAACCAGTCTGGGATTACAGAGGAGAAGGCAAATTCCTGTGAGATTGTAATGAAGTGGGCAAATTTCTCCATGGACCGTGGACTTCTCCAGACCTTCAAATCCCATGGCCAGGCTGTGTGCCTTTAGGGAAGCACTGCCTGATAATCTGTTGGTGACTGTCACTGAAACTTTTCCAAAATTATGTATTGTTGCTTCAAGACACAATCAAATTGCTGTTTCCTCATCATAACAGGATGTGCTCTCAGTGCCTAAAGAACGTGACTGACTCCAAAACACACACACACACACACACACACACACACACACACACGTGTGCTCACACACATACAGAGATAACTCCAATGTGGGAAGGAGATTTATTGGCCAAGAATTGACTGTTTCTTCTCAATCAAAGAGAGGAAACAGCCATCTACTGTCATATTAATTATCAGAACCTTCCTATTTAGGTTTTTGTGGACTAGTTTATATGTAAGAATTCACACACAAAGATCATTTCATTTTAAATGAAAAAAAAAACACATTTAGGTATGACAGAAGTGCATGTGAGAAAAGCACACCTACAAACCAGGTGTAGAAAAAAGCTAAAGGAGGGCACAGATAAAGTCCTGCTTTGAGATTTATAGGAGTTTGTTTGCACAGAGCATATTTGGAGCACTTTGATCAGATTAATTCTTTTATATAAAAGCAAACCAATGCTTTGAGCCTGCATCATATTGGCCCGTGGGGGGAAAAAATGTGAGTAACAAATAAGCTGGCCCCCAAAATAACTCGGGCCTTCATGGACTGATAGTCTGAAATTACTCCAGAGAGGTGAGAAATAGCAAAGGGAAATCAAAGCATCGGAAAAGAGAATTGCCTAAAAGCATAAGAGAGCTCTTGCACAAGGCCAGCTGAGCAGAGGGCAGAGTTCTGCTGACTTACACCAGCTGAGGAGCTGCCCAGAGTCTGTGTTCTTGAAGCTCAGACTTCAGAAATATAACCAGTGATTTGTAGAACTGTCTGAGAATTAGAAATGTAGTGTTGAGAGTCCAAAAATAGACGTGATCTATTTTTATTGGCAAAGGAAATCACCAAAAATCTCCCAATCAGATTCACGTGGTACAAATGGAATACTTTCAACCTGGAGAGGTTTTATTTGCAATTCAGTCAAATGTTCTTTGAGAATTGGTAAGTGTTAAATAGCACACCACATGAATTACTGTTACAATGGAATTATGACTGATAATATTGTACAAACAAGATCTGAAGTTGAAATTAAAGATTATAATTGTGATAAAAATAATAGAGTATTCTTAATTGAGAAACCATTTTCATTACGCAGCAACTGCCATTACCAAAATACACTTTTGTGTAGAAATAGCTTAGTTAAACTTCTGAACCTAAAAAACAAGCAGATTTTTTTTTCTTTTTAAAGGTATTCTACGCATTCTAATGATCAATTTATAAGATTTCATACACTCCAATTACCTTTCAAATATATACTGTGCAAGATACTATGACACAACAAATGCACTGCACATGAACATTTGTGCTTGTCTAACCAGGCACATTAAATTGAGCTACACAGATATGTGTCATGTATTCCCCTTGGATGGTTCAGGAATGCTGCAGCTACAGGAAAATATCACCTGCCAGTACTGCTCCATGGACCCAGTCCTGCTCCTGTGGAAGTGGAATACTTCATATTTAATAAATATAATCAGGGCTTGCTATAGATAGGGAAGAGACTCAACAAACAAAGGTTGGTGTTTGTATTTAGACATAGGCTTTTGTGTTCAAAATATTTGAATGTTTTAGTCCTAAATATTTTCGTCATATATTTGAGGATGGTGAATCTAAAAACAGTCAAATTTTGCAGCTGGTGGAAAAGAAGATTTCCTTCTACTTGTAATACAGCTGCATCTTAGGTTAAAACTGTGTAAACAAAGATTTCCTGAGAGATTCCTTTATCCTCTGGGAAAAGTTTGGAAGATACCCAAGCATACATTAAATATTCTAGCAGACCAGGCCTCATATAGGGTCTTCTATTCTGATTAAATAAATGTCACTTTTTTAAAAATTTATTTCATAAACCAGTTTGCTTATCCTAGCAGTGTATAATGAAAAGCTAGTTATATAAAATGTGTAGATTTTATATTTAATGCAAAATGAAGTAGGTATAAAAACAGCTGCATGAAATACTTTTGCAGGGCTTTTTTGCTTTGAAGGAAAACAGGTATCCCTGTTCCCTATTAATCTTTCTTGATTCATTCCATTCAGGGTGGCCAGCAGACTGATAAGATCATTCCTTCAGATTTCAAAATTACTGAATCTGGAAATAGTTCTCATTTATCTCATGCACTGCTGAGAAAACAATCTCAAATTGTTGGTTCTACTGATGAAGCTTCCTTAGCAACACAAGGGCTCCAGAATTATTTTTCAAACCTTGTCAACCCTTCCTGTGAGGTTTCCGTCACTGTCAGCACTGAACACTTTGCAGATGAGGGGGAAAAAGAACCCACCCAACCCAGAAAGCTTTGATAAATTAATAGAAGGTAAATTAATAAATTAAATTGAATTAGTAGAAGCAGTGATAAATCTAAAATTCCCTAACAATAGTCCAGTGAATAATGTTTTAGATTTACCAAGTGTTTTATCATTTAGATGAGAATCTATAGGGAAGGGACTACATCCCAGTGGTATTAAAAAAGGCAGGAAAGCTGAACACTTGCACCTGTGCCTTTCTCTGCAGGGTAACACCCCACAGCAGGGGCTCTTCACCCCAGGAATCACTGCAGGAGGATCCTCACTGCTTCTGCCTTTTAAAGCCTTGGTGTAGGAAAGGACACCCCACAGGCTGTGGCTGCTCTCCAGAGGAGGAATTTCTGCTCTGCTGAACCTACCGACTGGCCCCTCTCCCTTGCTGGCCCTTCAAATTGGACTTTTCAGCCATATTCTCTCATGGTAAATTATATTTAGGCCACGGTTTAAACCTTTACCACATTCAGTTTATATTGATTAAGTCTCAAGTGTGCAGCCGGACTCTTGAAGCCAGATTTCAACAGTTGTAAAGTTTGTAAAGTGTCAGCAGTGCAGGATTTGGCTTTTAATGTAATTGGAACAGACTAGTTTAAAGTTAATTTGTTTCAGGTACCTCAAGTCTCAGGTTAGAGAGTGCTTTCTGCTGTGAAGATTTTTTCCTTCTCTGACACAAGCGCTCACCCTAGTTCTCAAATTCACCAGTGCTCATCTGACACTTCACAAGTTGCCAAATGTCTACTCAAACACTAAAAAACCCAGTTCTAAGCTAAGTGTTAGAGAGGGGAGCTGAAAATTAGCGGGAGCATGTCTACCCAGGGCTGAGCAAAGACACTAAACATTAACCCTTTGCTGGCTGCTCAGAGCACTGGTTGTTTGGGCAGGGCTGCCCTTTGCTCTCCTGTGTCCTGGGACACAGTCACTGATGCCAGGAGCCTGCTCAGCACCAGGGAACAGCATCCCCTGTCAGCTTTGTCATGCCCTGATTTCCATTTTTCTTTTTTGTTTTTCCTTCAAATTCCTCAGCACTTTTTTAAAGCAACTTTGGTTCAGTCCCTGGTTTCCACAGTGACTGTCACACAGGGCTGTGTTGCCCAGACTGAAGTGAGTATGTACTTGGGTGCATGAGGTGGTCAGGAAGGAAAAGAAATGATTGCTGATGCTGTGAACGACAAATAATAATATTGTGAAACTATT